AGCAGGAGCTGCAGGGTTTTTGCTCTCAAGAGAGAAATAGCAGCGGCTTCTTTCTGGCCGCCCTGCAGTGATGGCCGGAGCTGCAGCAGCCATTTTGCTACCGGATATCCAGGCAGCGCCAGCCCTGACAGGGTGGGGGTCTCCAAATCCACACCGATTACCCACCTGTGGGCTTCTTTGTGTGACAAGACTCAACCCACACCTGTTCAAGCCTGGGACAAGGAGTTCCCGTCGTGTGCACCAGAAAGCATTCCCAACTGATGGAGACTGTGGCTTTCAAGCTGCCCTGACTGGACAAAGCCCCTAGAAGCCAGTGAAGTGCCCAGAGCTGGGCTCCTGAGGGCCTCACTCTCCAGCCCCTCACTGGAAGGTCCCGCCCTGTAGCAAGAGCCTGGGGCTGTGCTGCCCAGAGCCACCAGCCAAGCTGGGGGCCCTCGCGGGTACCACCGCATACCTTAGACCCCTTCGCTCCCAAAGCACCCCCGAGGAGCCCACAACTTACAAAGGGAGAGTCCTGGCGAGGAAACCCAGACTCAGGCGCCCAGGAAGGTGGTCAGGTGGTCAGAGCCTGGCCAGTAGGTCTCACCTCCTCCCAGGCCACAGGTCAAGGTCCGAGGTGCGGCCGATGCCTCCAACCTGAAAAACAGGGGGGAAAACACCCACAGAAAATAAAGTGTAGAGGACCGGCTCTGCGAGGAGCCGGGGAGGTAAAGGAGGAGCCCTGGGGTGTCCCGGGGCGGCCAGCAGGAACCAGATGGCCCTTTCCGGCTCGTGGCCGTCCCTCCACGGGTTGGGCCGGGGCGGGGAGAGGGGGTCGCTTGGCCGGACCAGACCCTCCCCTGCCTCCTACCCCGCAATTCCGCTCTCCCGGGCGACGCTCACAGGCCCGGCGGGCCGCGGCCAGGTCCACCTCCGCGGTCCGCCCGCACCAGGAAGCTGCGCCCCGACGCGTGTCCCACGGGCCCCTCGGCCCCCGGGCCTCCGAGCAGCGCAGACGTGTAGCCGGCCGGGAGGGGCGGGGCCTGGGGCGGGGCTAGGGGCGGGGCTAGGGGCGAAGCGAGCGGGGAAGCCGAGCCCAGGCCGCCGGTGCTCCCGGGGGCGCCGCCGGAGGGCGTGCAAACTGCAGGGAAGGAAGGCAGTAGGTGCCGCGGGGGCGAGAGGGCCCGCAGGGGAGAGGGGACCGCGGGAAAGAGAAGCGTGTGAGGGAGGGCGTAGCAGGGGCGAGGGCACGCTGGGAAGGGGCGCTGCGAGGGAGAGGAGCTGTCAGGCTCGAGGGGCGGCTGGGGAGAGAGGCCGAAGGAGTCGCTGGGCCCTGGGGGGTCCCAGGCGTGAGAGCGGGGGTCCTCCACCAAGACCGCGCAGGGACGGGCTCGGTCGCAGAAGCGGGGCCCGGAGCCTCCGGACGCGCCTGGGTCTGATCCGAGAGTTGAGGCGGCCTGCAGGGGTGGGGTGGGGGGGCGCTGCGGAGCTCCCCGCTGGTCCCTCCAGTTCGCGCCCTGGGCGAGGCGGGTCTGGCTGCGCGCACAGGTGCGGGCGGAGAGCACAGCCGCGCCTGATGGGTTCCTTCATTCAGCGCGTTTATGTGCCCGAAGCCTGCGGTGCGCAGGACGCAGACAGAGGTGCCTGGCCGGCCGCCTGGAGCTGTCCCTCCCGCAGAGTGATGGAAAGGAACAGCAGCAGGAAAAACGGCCTCCATCCACCCTCTTCCAAAGGGGTCGCCCCAGCCAGGGAAGCCCCCATTTCGGAGGTGGCCCCCCCGTGGGCCCAACTGAAGGAGCCTATAGGCACCCAGGCTCAGGCCTTCAAAGCCCAGGGCCTCTGGAGGGGGCCCTTGCTCCGTGTGGGGGTCTCCCCAGGAAGGAGCCAGGGATGCAGATCGGGGCTGCGGATGGAACCCAAGCCCCCACGAGTCCCGGAGGGAAAGAGAAGCTGAGCCCATGGCCAAGGACAGGGTTTAATTCTAAAGCGAGAAGACCGGGCCACACACGATGGCCCCCGAGCTGGGGCCCAGCGTCTGAGGGGCGGGGGGCGCGTGGGCAGGCGGGCTTTACTTGGAGGCCAGCTTCTTGGACTTGCTCTGGGAGGAAGGGGCCTCCGACTGGTGCAGGGGAGGCATCCTGATGCCTTTCTGTTTCAGCTGATTGTAGTAGTCGGCTCGCTCAGAGATGATCCTCTGGGGAGGAGCACAGGCCGTGGCTGCGGGGGCGCCGCTGCTCCACCACCCCCCCACCAAGGGCAGCCGGCAGCAGGGCCTGCACGGAGCTCTGAGCGCTGACACCAGCTCTCCAGGGGGAAAAGCTGTGGTCTTGCAGCATTTGCAAACTTCTGTGCAGAAAACGCTCCCACCGCTGCTGGTCAGGCCCCGGGAGATGAAGCCCACAGAACTCGGAGTGGGGAAGAGAGCCCCTCCCCCCACGGGCTGCGGTCGCTCTCCCCTGAAGCAGCACTAGGTCCCCTGCGAATCTCCAGCAGCCCCCGACCGAGAGACCTCAGAGGCCACGGAGCCTGTCCCTCCAGGCCCTTCTGTCCTGCCTCCTCCCTCACCTCTCCTGCTTCACCACCGGTCACTGTTTTGTGTCCTTTGTGTCCGACACTGGCAGGGGAAAGGATTCTTCCCTGACTACTGGGTGGTACCGAGGACCCTTCCCTCCCTCTCTCTCCCTCTCCTCCCCCTTCTTCTCTCTCCCTCTCCTCCCCCTCCTTCTCTCTCCCTCTCCTCCCCCTTTTCTTCTCTGCCCCCTCCCTCTCCCTCTCCCCAAGCAATGGTAGCCAGGCTGCAGAGACCTCCCCCCAGGTCCTCATGCAGGGCCCCCCTCCCCTGAGACCTTTGCCACCCTGCGGGATCGCCACTGGCCGCGGCCCCACCCCCACGGCGCAGAGGAAAGAAATCAGGTCTCAGGGAAACGCGGGGCCCTGGAAGGGGACAGGCCCTGGTGGCAAGCGCCCTGCCGTGGGAGGCTTGCGGCGTGGGGACCGAAGCAGCCCCTGTGAGCAGCACACCAGGCTGCACAGAGCACGTTTGGGTCAGGGGCTCGGCTCCCAGGGCCCTCTCCCCACCACGCCCCGAGGCAGACGCGCTGTCTCCCACGTGCAGAGGGAAACTCCGTGGCTCTGAACTCAAGTGACCCGGCCACAGCTTCTCAGCCGAGGACCACAGGGGTGGTGACTGACCCCTGCCGGCCCCAAAGTCTGCACCATGTTCCCTGCACCACGGTGCCCCTGTGAGGCCTCTGTTTGGGGTCAGCAAGATGACAGCGCGGGCCAAGGCCAGGGAGGGGTCTGTGCCAGGGTCCTGCCTGAACAGATGACTATCCCAGCTGAGGCCATGCCGAGGTGCTGAGAAGCATCCCTGAAGAGGCTGGGTGGGCCAGGGTCCCTGCTGCGGGGGAACCTCCAGGACTCCAGCAGCTGGGCCCCCCGCCCCTGTGCATCCCCCGCGGACTTGCTGCTGGGGATCACCGAAGGCCAAGAGCGGCTAGCCTCGCCAGCTGTACAACATCGCCACCCTTTCGGGGGGTCCGGTCCCCCTCTGCCTGAGCAGAGAGTAAGCATGATCCCCGGGTGACGGCGAACAGTGACACAGAAGCAGAATGGGGGTCCATGGCATCCATGCTGTCTTCTCCCCTCCGCCTCTGGCTGCAAATTAGTCAGCTCCCGCCCGGAGACGCGGCCTCGGGGACAAGGAGGCAGCCCAGCGCCAAATGTACCTGCAAGGCCTCCAGAATGTCATTGTCAGAGATCTCAGTGGCCAAGGACTTGATCCCGGAGGTGCTGAAGGTGGCCTGGATGATGTTGTTTCTTAGTCTTTCGAGCTGTGAGCAAAGGGAAGGAGCGGGGGAGTCACCACCCCGGCTTGAAGCTTTTCAGAAGGTAGACGTTCCCTCGCTTTTCACAGCCGCAGAAAGCGGAAGAGGTCGGAGAGGCCGGCTGGTCTGCCCGGGAGCTACAAGGGGCCGGATCCAAACCCAGGCCCAGGGGGGCCTGACACCAAGGCTTTAAGACTTTCTACTGCTTTTTTTTCCTTTTTAATTGAAAAAGAAATGGTTTTAAAAGGCCGGTGGGGGGGGGGGGTACCAGAGCTCTGAACAACCCCCCACCGGGCCACCCCCTTCCCCTAGGGAACTGGTGCAGCCCCCTCCCGACCCCAGGGCACCCTACGAGCCTGTCAGCCCCTCCCTGTTAGCATTGGAGGGGGCACTTGGGGGTCCCTCCCTCCTTGCCTCGTGCTGCTGGTGGTAACTAGCCGCTGACAGGGCATTAACCGGGTGTTGACGAGGACGGGGCTCAGGCTGTCCGGTCTCGCTGCCATCGGCCTGGCTGTGCACGTGCAGGGCCCCAGCCCGCCTCCGCCCGCCTGTACCCCACAAGCCCTCAGACAGGGCCCCCCGAGTTCTGGCGGCGGCACGCTAGCAGCTCCTCGGCCCCCGCGTCCAGAAGCCCCGACAGAGCAGGAGGGCCAAGGGGGAACCAGCCTGAAGAGGCTGCAGGAGGGTCCACTTTGGCTCCGGGACAGAGGGGATGTTAGGAGCCCCGGGACCTTGAGCGGGGGGCGGGGGGGGCTCCCATGTTTTCCAGTGTGGACCGATGCCAGCTCGGTGTTGGCATCGCACTGGTATGGGGGTCTCGCCCTCTCTACTGGAGGTGGCCGTCAGCTGGGGGTGTCCGGCCACAGTGCCCCACGCCTGGGCTGTCTCAGGCATCTCTGGCAGGTCCTGGCACCCCTTCCTGCCAACCTCAGGCCTAGGCTCACCCTCTCAGCACAGCGCTCCAGGCCCTACT